TTGTATAATGTTTAGTTTTGTACTTATTTCAAAATTTCATTACCAAGAAAATTCTCTAATGCTTTATATGTATAGAAAGTTCCTAATGTTACAGACCAGTTAAAGTAAAAATTTTGAGAAGGAACTGCGAAAATTTCTGAAAGATGAAAATGCATAAAGTACTAAGGTATGATTTATATTTAGAATTTTTCTTTCCAACTGTATCATCCCATATTGAAAAATTTAAGTTTGGGGAGGGAAGAAAAAGATTAACTATTATATGTTCTCAATTTAAATATTTTAAAAAATTATTATGTAGTGAATTTATAGTGAATTTAATTCAGATAACTATATGAGCGATACGTATACTTGCGTTGATAAGTGTGACTTTGCAATTATTGAATATTTTATACACATATTTATCAAATATATAACCGTTATCAAGTTTTTGGCGTCGTTGCCGGGGGTTTAAATCTTCTAGCAGCAGTATCAAATTCTTGTATTTTTAAGCATATATAAAGTCGTAGTCCTTCTCGAAAAGCATCCACCATTTGTTCTCTCATCTCAAGTGTCAACTATTCTTTCAACTCCATTACTTCCTACCACAAAATCTCTCTTATGTTATCCATTTCAGCGGCTTCGTTCTATGTTTCTTGGACAGTTGCTTTGCTGCTACGCCCTACTCCTCTTCTTGTTGGTTGCATGATTTCACTCTCACTGCATCTTTTAGGGTGCTGAACAAAAAAGTGTCCTAGAATCATGCCCAAAGAATAGAACACAAGAAACAAATGAAGGAGAAGAGAATGAACAATAAAAATAAGTGTCCAGAGAATTTTTTTACGAAATGGCCTCCTATTTATTGGTATAGAAGACACCTTGAGTACATAGTTACTTTTACTCTCATTCTAGTGTAAATATATGTAGGGGCATTGTGATCTTTTACACGGTACAATTAATTAGGCTAATAAATAATTATTTACTAACGACAACATGCTTTCTATTCGTTGTCCCGTGCTTGTCCGCTCGACAATGATAGGTTAAACCATGTGAAGATTATACGAAGTTTCCTCAATTGGATATTCCCAAGGTTTCTTCTCTAATTCTGGTTTGTTCACCTCATTCGTCAAATGATAAGGCGTCATTCGATTGGCCCACCTTGCTGGTATCTTTCATTCAACTTTATTGTTGGCCAGCTTGCTGACTAGGTGGATGATTACAGAGCTTGGTGACGATCTCCTGGCTTTGGCATTATTCTTCTTGATTATTCAATTTAGTTTGTTGACTGACTATGTCACATCTTGCTCAAAGCCACACTTATTTTTCTGCGTTCCTTAGCTTTGCATCGAGATCTGTGCTGCTACAATGTAGTCATACAATGATGTTTTGGTAAACTTTTTCGAAGTTTTAAAGTATTACACCAAAAGTCGTGTAATGATTTTATTGATCATGTCTAAACATTCATTTTTAAATATAAGCATACACAATTTGAATAGCATTGTGTTAGTGCTAGTTTAGCGTTTATTACTATAATACGAGTATGAGGGTTAAACTCATTCGATGTCAATCAGATGACTCAATTATATTCTAAATTTGTTAAAATCACAAAGAATCAATTGAATTAAATTTCTAAATTTTTTATTCAAATATTAAATTATGATTCTTCGGTACTTTTTTCAGATTTAGAACCATTAAACATCTACTTGATGCGGTGGTTTTGTTTCATTTATTGGGGGATATTATATATCGTTATTTATTTAGTAGTAATTCTTATGCTATGTGGGATGTTTGCTATCCTTGTATATAAACCTGATATCATATATAAACAACTTGAACGAATCTAAACGACCAGTTCTCCCATCAATTATGTTAATGCAAATCCGAATGCCCCCGTCGTAATGTCTAAATACAAAAAATCGATAAATTAAATAAAAACAAAAGGAGTCCATACCAAACAGGCAACATTACATTGCAGGAGTAATATGACTAGAGGTTAAAAATTCTGATGCTTTGGCCAGCACAAGTATATATAAAGAGATGGAAATTGAGGGTATCCTATTCCCAAGGAGAAGACCAAGAAAATCAATTGTGGGAAGAAGCTACCTTGGCAATGTTGTCCAAGGAAACCAATGGCCGTGTCAAATTGGTGCTCAAGAAAATGAAGCCATATGCGGCCATGGTTTTCCTTCAGTTCAGTATTGCTGTAATGTACGTTATTTTAATGGCGACTCTTAAGGAAGGCATGAACCAGTCCGTAATGTTCGCGTATCGTAGCCTTGTTGCTACTACTTTCATTGCGCCATTTGCACTCTGGTTTGAGAGGTAAGAATTATAGAGAACGTATAGGAGAACAATGTGGGAGTTGCCTGAACCAGTTTGGTTACAAGGAATTTTAAAATTTTATTATTTTAAAATTATTTTTGAGATAATATTTTTTATATGTTATGGTCAACTAAAATCGTAATTCAGAGTTACGAAGCATATTCTGATCAATATGTAGTGTGTACATGAATACTTTTGCTGATTATTTTGTATAAGATGTTCAATTCCAATAAAAGCAATAAGTAATTGAATTAATTTTAAAATTATGAACAAATAAATTCATTTTTTAATTTTTTTATAAAATCTTAAATTAGCCTTAAATTTTAGGAGAAATATAGACCTTAAAAGTTTTTAATTTTTTTTGTTTGTTTGTCAACTTCAAGAAATTAAATGGACTGCAGTCGGTATATTTCTCTGATTATTATACATTATGATGAAATAATTATACAGTATATTTTTTTTTAACCTTCTGCGTATTCTGGTCCAGGAATGGGAGACCTAAGATAACACTCATCATCTTCGTCAAGGTCATGGCGTTAGGAATACTTCAGTTATGATCATTCCTCACTAATTACTTAAGCAACTTGCAAGCGTCATACAAATTTAACTAACCGCTAATTCCCCTATTTTTATAGGCCTGTTCTGGATCAAAACTGCTACTTATTGGGAGCTAAGCTGACCTCAGCAGGCTTTGCTTCTGCTCTTGAAAACATTAATCCTGCCATTACTTTTGTCATATGCCTTCTTCTAAGGTAATTCTTGAATTGAAACTCCCAAAGTTACTTTATCTAAGTTTTTAACCTTGCTAAAGTTAACTTCACAATACAATTTTGTTAATAAATTTTTTAATAAATTAGGATGGAAAAGTTAAACATTAGAAGGAAGCAGGGCGTTGCTAAGGTCATTGGCGCTATCTTGGGCGTAATTGGTGCAATTGTAATGATTTTGTACAAAGGACCTATTGTGGAATTTTTCTGGTCACAAGGAAGAGAGAACCATAGCGAGGTAGCTACAGCAAATGATGAAGCAGGGAACAGCACTACATGGATTAAGGGCATATTGATAATTTTTATTAGTTGTCTCAGCTGGTCTTCCTTCATCATCCTGCAGGTAATTCCCAAATACCATCAATTGGTTAACAAATTCAGAAGAATTATTTATATTTGCAATTAATTTATTGTATAATTGTAAAAAAAAATTTATCTGTTATTCTAATTGCAGGCAAACACATTGAAATCATACCCCGCAAAACTAAGCCTCACAGCAATGGTTTGTTCATTTGGTGCGGTAATAAACGGTGTGATTGCTCTTGTGGTGACGCATGGAAGTTTTCGGCCATGGATTTTAGGGTGGGATTTGAGGCTTTTTGCTGTGATCTATTCGGTAAGCAAATTTTTACATCGTAAATCTAAAGTTGATTAATTGAAGCTTGATAACTCATCGATTTGACTTGCAGGGTTTGGTAGGCAATGCGTTTTGGTACTTCATGCTTGGGGTGGTGACGAAGGAAAAGGGTCCAGTTTTTGCAAGTGCCTTCAACCCTCTTACAATGATCATGACTAATGTCTTGAGCTCCACCTTCCTAGCAGAAAAGATTGTCCTTGGAACGTAAGCCCATGCTTCAATTTATCGAAATTGATCTCCTGCCCTGCCCCACCAGAACTAAAGGAAATTATTAATAGTGTGGTGGTGAGAGCTTGGCACATAGCCCATGCTCAACAAGTTCAGGGTGGTGAAAAATTAATTTGTGGATGGTCCGTATATGCGAATAGGGTGTATTGGGAGTATACATCCTAATCTACATGTACAAATGGTCACACACAATATTTTCTTTATAATATCTAGTGAGCCTTAAAAAATTTTCTTTTTTATTTGACACAGGATTATAGGCGCAAGTATTCTGGTGGCTGGCATGTACTTCATTTTATGGGGCAAAAGCAAGGATTTTACCGTTGAGTTGGAGAGTGTAAAAAGTATTGAAGAACCTGAACTACCTGTAGTTAAAATCAATAATGTCGACGGCCAACCTAAGGCATTGAGATTTGAACCTACTTTGATCCATATTCAGGAAACAAAACAGGAAAGCTTTCCACAAAAAGATCAAGTTTTGGTTTTAGATTTTCAATAATTAAATGAGATACTGGGTAACATCAAGTTGTGGTTTATGATTGTTAATTATCACCCAACATTTATTTGGGTTGATGTTATGCTTAATTTTTGATGTAATGCCCATCATACTAATGAAAGTCAACATATGGTTATGTGCTGAACTTCTTATCAGAGATTAGAATGACTGATATCAAATGTTATCTTATTGTATGATCAAACAAAAATCAATCTTCCAATTGAAGTACACATAAAAAGAAAATTTAGTTTTAGTTTTTTCTTTTCATACAATGATCAAAAAATTCAAGCAAGCAAATTATGTCACAAATAAAGGCTTTTGCTAATTAAGTCAAAAAACATTCATTCTTAAAGGCTCAGTTCTAAGACGCACGTATAAAATAGTATGAAATATGTTTGAGTTATTGATAACACTACTTGCCAAGCTATATAAATGGCAATCATATGAGAGTGCCAACTCTATAAATTTGATGATCAAAAGTATAATTATTCGTGCTTATCCAAGTTGTTAGTATAATTGCCAAAGCAACAAGATTTTCTCATTTGATTTACAAGTTATGAAAATGAAAATATATGCCTTGATTAGCAAAATATAAAAATAAGTTTAATAAAAAAACAATTTTATTGGCCATACCTACAAGATTTTCTCATTTGATTTACAAGTTATGAAAATGAAAATAAAGACCTTGATTGGTAAAATAGAAAAATATTTTTAGATAAAAAAGATGTTTAGTTTTACTACATAATTAAATTATGTAATTAGTCATTGAAAAATCTGACAAACATCATTTAAAGGCTAATAGACTATCTTTACTTCAGCATGAGTAATACAAACACATACAAAAGCATATCTATATATATATATATATATATATATGGGTGGGGGGCGTAAAACAATATTTGCTTTTGCAGGATTTAACAATATGGAATAGAATATATTGTGGTAGCAATTGGCCTGAGATTGGTAATAATTTAAATGGAATGGCAATTTAATTTTGAGAGTTGACTTCAACATGGTCACTTGTGCTACTGAGAAGCAAGGTGGAATGACTGTGGACTATTCTCTTATATCTATGTTTAATATAGCCCTCTCTGATGCTAGGTTATTTGAACTTGGGTATATTTGGACTTTATTTATTGGAAAAGAGTTATGTTATTTGAAAGAATTGATAGAAGACTTTCTAATCAAGATTAGATGTCAAAATTTCAATTCTCAACTACTCAACATGTGTCTAGAATTGGGTTAGATCACAGACCACTCCTCCTTACTATCTCTTCTTTAGATATACCAACTTTTACCCCATTTAGATACTTAAACACTAGGGTAAATCATGCTGATTTTAGGAATTGTGTGCAAACTGCTTGGCAATCTAGTGATGTTGGGAATCCTTAATACAAGTTGTGGAAGTAACATAAGAACACTACCAAAGCATTAAAGAGTTGCATTTGGGAGACCTTTAAAGTCTTACATAACTCGGTGAGATTAGCTGAAGTTGAGGTCTGCAGATTGAAAAATTTGGAAGTTGACATGATAGTGTGACAACAACTTTATATATGCTTAAGAATACAAGAGTTTGATATTGCTACTAGAAGATTTAAATCCTTGACAACGGCGCCAAAAACTTGACAACAGTTATAGATTTGATAAAGATGTGTATTAAATATTCAATAATTGCAAAGTCACACTTATCAACGCAAGTATACGTATCGCTCAAGTAATACAAGGCTCTAATGGAGTCCTAGAAATCGATCCCACAGAGAGTAATATTAAAGGCTACAAACTAACATTTAAAAAAATCAATACTTAATCACAACAATATAGTTCAAATTGCATATTTGTCACTAATAGGCAATTGAAATAAAAATGTAATTTTAATAAACTCTCAATCAACTAATTCTACTAATAAAGTTTCTAATGTGAAGTTCAATATATAAAAAAGCATCCTTCTCCTTGTCAAGAAATTTAAGTGAATGGATAAATTGAATCAGTTCAAATTGTATTGTGTCAAATAGGAGCATACTTATTCTTTACCCTTTGGACCAGACATAAAGAACATTGACTAATTCTATGCTTGGTTACTGAATCTGCGTCTAGGCTGGGAGGATACCGGCTCTCACTTCGGAGCTCCCACATTCCCCTTGCCTGAAGTCTAACTTCTACACTTCATCACCCAAAAGATAGGACCGAATTGAGGATTTTAGTTTGTCACTCTAAAATCTCCAATTCTACCCCCGATAATTTTATTTCCCTATTCATTTGCACCCAACTTTCAAGGACTTTGACCTCCCTAAATCTTCGATGTAATCTTCACTTTAGTTGTAAAACTCAACATATTTTAACAAATCAATTGGCCAGATTGAAAGTAAATTAAGATTGAAGTGAAAAGATCATCACAATTTCTTAAACAGTTTCATGACTTCACCAATTCAAATCACAATATTTCACAAAATCTCAAGACAAGGAGAAAGATAGAGAAAACAACTCAGAACTCATAACGAAGATACGACAAAACTTGGAATTTATATACAAAAGCAAAGCCATACAAACTTCAATAAGTAAATACCACTTATCTCTAATTCTTTCCCAAGAAAACTCCTCGAAGTTCCTCTGAATTTCTTCCTTTCTTTATAACACACAGAATTCTCCTTCGAAGCAGCAAGGAGGAAGAAATCTCTCACTTTCCTTCCACTCTTACAATCTCTCGAAGAATTCCTCACAATACTAACCCTAAATTACACTCTCTACACTCTAATGGACACACGTAGACACTCGTAGATCCTCGTGGACCCTCGTGGACACTCGTGGACACACCCTCTCGGCCTCCAAATTGTTTCTTTTAAAGTTGTAGAAGAGTTTCCAAGAGTTGCCCAATTGCCCTTCAAAAATCGTCCACATTCAATGCATCTGTTGAGAGAACCGACCTGCTCGCTGTCGGCTGCTCGCCGTCGGCGGCCTCGATGGCGTCATCGGCGGCCTTCTAGAATTTTGAGTCTGAACTCTCGAGAAAAACCCACCGTTGGCTCCCTAGTTCAAATTCGCCGTTGAGCTCGCTGTCGGCGCCCAAGACAAATCTTCATATTTTGGTCCTTTTTGCTTCAAAATCGCTCTTTTTTGCATCTTTTTGCTTTAATGACCATAATTCAACATACTTGCAACAAAACATAAAAAATACATTTCTTTAAAGTGCAATATCATCAAAATCAATGTAAAATAGAATAGGTATGAAAATCTCAACATATTTTCCTTTGGTCATAGTGCTAAGGAGGATCTAAATAAACCCAATAAGAATTGATGACTAAAATCAAATGGAAGGAAGTCTTTCTGAGGCAAAAGGCCAACGCTTTGAATTTTTCTAATGGGGATAGAAATTCTCATTGCTTCCATGCTAGTATTAAAAGTAGATGGAAAGCCAAACATATCTTAAAATTTAAAGACAATAATGGTAACATTTTATATGAGCAGGAGGAGATTATTTCTAATGGCATAAACTATTTTGAAAACATCTTGCAACAGTAAGACAAAGAACTGGTGGGACCTTTTTTAGATGATGGGTTCCACCATAGATCTTGAAAGACTTCTATTTACATGATCTAATATGATATTTGAAGAATAGTATAGCTTCTCAAGTATAGAAATATTACCTTAAAAAGGATATAATCATTCAGATAAAGAATATATTTGGGATTTATGACATGTGGATCTAGGTTTAATTTAAATTTGAGTTCCATGATCTAATATGATATTTGAAGAATAATATAGCTTCTCAAGTATAGAAATATTATCTTAAAAAGGATATAATCATTCAAATAAAGAATATATTTGGGATTTATGGACATGTGGATCTAGGTTTAATTTAAATTTGAGTTCTGGTATCCCTATGATAGGGCTCCCCCCATAAAGTTAATTACATCATAAGAATTAGTCTTGAGAAGACTCTCGATTAAAGCTAGGCCGTATATCTTTCTTATTAATTAATGAAATGTTTATCGAATGAACAAAAATTTATGACTTCGATGAAGTGGATAAGATTGGACACAAGTTGGCTTCAATTGAATTCCAAAATAGTTTACCCTTAAAGTTGAGCCTAACAGTTGATAGTTGAAGAGAAGATATAGGGCTTGAATTAATTTGATCAGGTATGAGAAATTGATTTGATTAGATTTAGAATTAGGTCTAAATCAATTTGAAATTGGGTTTAAATTTGAATTAAATTGGATTGGGTTGAAACTGGATTGATTGAGATTAATTTGAGATTTTAATTCATAAGTTTTGGATCATATAGAGATTTAAATTTGAATTGAGTTTGGAATTATATTGGTTCTGAAAGGTTTGGTTTAGATTGAGTTGAATTAGAGTTAATTGGATTAAGAAATATCCTAGTCTAATGTGTAGGAAAATTGACAAGATTTTTGGATAGAGGTGAATCCCTATCCTACACACCTGTAAACAAGAAACTATAGGAGTCCTAACCTAAATTTTTTAATAACACACCAGGTCAAGGTGCCCGTGACTTTTCATCTTCTCGGGTGCTTTGATAGCCTCAAACTATTAACTAGTATAATAACATGAGCTCTTCCTTATCCCCGTAGCAATGACTTAAGGTAGTTCTTCACATTATAAAAGTGGTTGTGAGTACCTTCATCAATAGCATGAGCTACTTCATGATAAGTTGCTCATAGTCTTTTGGGGTAGGTTAGTTTGTTTTATAGGTCCTAGTCCGTAGTTATAATTTTGTGAGGAAACCTAGAACTAACCTAGGAATTCTAGACTGGATTAATCCATGGTACATATATGGACCTAGGTTTTCTTTTGCATTCACTACCCAAGGGGCATAGTTTGAAACTTTTCGAAGGTGTCATTTATTAAGATAAGAGTTGGTCAATTTTAAGTGTTTATGAGGTCTGACAATTAATAATGATTTGTTTTCTTATAGAAATCATCCATTATTGTGACAAAATAAGGTTTTCTATTCTTTTGTTTGGTTATTTTTTGGTTCTAAGTGAAATTCTCATCAAATTGTCAATCAGGTATTATTTTTGTTTTTTTCCTAAAGTTATATTACCCCCATGTTTTAATTATGGTCGAGAGATATATTCTAACAAATGAAAATAAGTTACTTGTACTTTCGTTATAGTAATAAGAGTATTTTCAATAAGTT